CGGATAAGCGGTTGATGATGGATGGATGTGTATAAATAAAACTAAAAACAAAGGAAAGTGAACTCCTTGTCATTGTGACATACATCACTGCACTGAAATGGGACCTCTGCATTTAACCCATCACCAAAGTGAACAGTAGGCAACTTTTTGAGCCCAAGGAGCAGTGTGAGGGGATGGTGCCATGCTCAGAACACCTCAGTGGTAACTTGGCAGCTGGTGGATTCAAACCTGCAACCCTCTGGACCTTAGGCCTCTTCCTTAACCACTAAGCCACCACTGCCCGAACAGTTGGCAGCTTTGAGCTGCCCGGGGAGCACTGCAGATTACATATGGCATAAAACACATTCCAAAATAAACATCAGCACACATTTAGTGCATCAATTTTCTTCACTCACTACGATACAGGTCCGCTTAGCATTAGGTTATTGCACATACTTCCCTATCTTCTTCTTTTTCTTTCGGCTTTGTCCCTTCAGCCAGTCTGTGGTCCCTGCCATTTGCAAACATGCACGAGCAGTGGTGGAGCATGAGATGCTATTCAATTCTGTATTGCCTTTTCTTTTGCAAGAGTTGTTTATTTTTGGTTCTATTTGAATTTTTTAGTTTTAATTGTTTTTAATTGTTTTAATTGTTTTTAATTGTTTAAATTACTTTTTCACAGAGGGCCAGACAAGTTTGTAATTTCTTTCTCCCTTGGTATATAAAATCATCATTTAGAAACTGCATTTCCTTGGGTTGTCTCTGTGTCATACTAAAATTGGTTTGATGATCTGAAACCTTTGTGTGTGATAAATATGCAAAAAACACAGAAATCAGGAAGGGGGCAAATACTTTTTCACGGCACTGTACATGTGTGAGTTTTTGTTGCTTTTCCCCCTTTGTACTGAATCCGTACCAAAAACGTACTGAACCATGACCCCCATGCCTGCTGTGAGCATAACAGTCCTGCAAACAGCTTGGTGCATGTTATAGAGGCCAACTGACGAATTGAGTGACAATACATTATGTAAGGAGTGGGCATGTAGATGGTTTTGTAAATTCTAACAAAATTAGGTTCCATATATAGCAAAGAAATACTTGCTAGGTGATACTACTAAAGATACAATGAGGATCAATTGTTAGACGATAAACAAAACAAAATGGGATGGTAAAAAAAAATGGAACCTCACCATTTACCATACAGAAGGTTGGATCAGTGATATCAACAGTCGTCGTTCACAAATAATTTTAGAAATATAACCAAAACACTGTTCAAAAAACAATGCAAAAAAAGTGTAAAAAAAAAACAACAACAAAAAACCCCAAAAACATTATTCTAATAACTATCTAACAGCAGAAAGCTAAAATGAGTTTTCTTTATTTATAATTTCATTAGAGCACAAACCAGTAGGTAGAGATTTAAGTCATTTATTTAGGTAAAAATGTTTTATAGCAACAGCAATTACCAGGCATATTTAGACACTGGATAAAAAACATTTATCATATAAGTTCTACACAAATTACATGTACATTGGATGTTAATAAAGATTTAGCTAATAGCCAGATAAAATGTATTTTTTAAACACAATCATGACATGTTCTTGTTAAATAGGGTGTAATATTGTTAATCAAATGTTAATCAAGAATGGAACCTATGTATCTATACCTCTATATCTATACATTACCTACAAGATTTCTTACCCTATTTGGGGACCCATCTCTATAAATAGTCCTCATGAATGTTAAGACTACTACTATATGTTTGCTGGCTGTTGCAGTCCTCCATGTTTTTTCTATTACTGCCTTGTATTTTGAAGTTGAGAACATTTTACAATTTGTATATGTGCATTAGCATTATTTAAAGGTTCGCTATGCTATTTCCGTGGCATTCTTGTTTTCCTTGCCATTCTGTCTTTGTTGTCATCAGCAGCATCCCCTGCACCACTCACTAGGACCTTCACGCACTTGGGGAAATCATCGAATTTGGGGGAAAGCAAAAAATTGTAGATGAGGGCTGCTGCTATTCCACCACAGATTGGCCCCACCCAGTACACCTAGATTGAAAATAATAACAAATTACTTGCTCAATCTTTGTAAGTAACTAACTAATAAACAACTGCGGTTATCAGAGAAAAATGAATTTGCATTTTCAATTTATGCATTTAGCAGACGCTTTTATCCAAAGCGACGTGCAGAGCAGGATTAACGTTAACTATCTTAACTATCTATCCTTCTGTTTCTTTGCCTTTCTCTCTGTCTGTCATGTAGTTCTAAAAATGATAGGAAATGTAAATTATAAGCAATTGTAAAGCAGGTGCAAACTGCTGACTCACCCAGTGATTTTCAAACTTGTTAAGAACTAGAGCAGGGCCAAAAGAGCGAGCAGGGTTGATTCCACAGCCGGTGTAGCTTATCTGTCATGAAACACACACACACACATACATATATATACATATACATATATACACATACTTTTCCACATATATATATACATATACATATATTCACATACTTTTTCCCTTATTATGGCCCTTAAGAGTCTGACTTACTCGTAAAGGCCATAATAAGGGCAAAGGTTTCCAAAAAAAAAATGTCATAAAGTGAATGTAACACAATCCGATGTGTGGCGTACCATCAGCGCATGTAAACAAAGATGCGTGACAATGTATTTGTCTGCTTTGCTCACCAACTAGTTCCCATGCGAAATTCTGATTTTACAGTGTTAGTTTCTTTACCTGAGCTACGTAGAATGACGTCAGATGATCTGTACTTATTTTGTGTTTTTTAATCCCAATAACCACCTAAGCTTTACATATCTACTGAAAGAGGACCCCTAGTGATGTGACACTTACAATAGTACAGTACAGAAATTATTCCATAACCCTCAGGTTATGAGACATCTACCCAACCTACTCAGCTAAATCTACCCACAATTTATTAATCAATTCCATCAACACACGTATCATTTTGCTTAAAACTATTATGCACTACATGTGTTAGTGACTGTCTAGGGAAACTTACAGCTGCCAAATGTCCCAAGCAGACAGAGAGACCAATGGCCAAAGGTGCCGAGCCAGTAACATCACGTCGCTTTTTATCAGTGACTGCAATCACACACAACACCAACTGAAATGTGGCGAAAAGTTCGATGGCCAAACCTTGTCTGAAATTCACATCACCGAGCTGTTTGAGAGAGAGAGAGAGAGAGAGAGAGAGAGAAAGGGAAACAGAGAAATGGAAAATACAATTGGCTTATCTTTAAATACACACACAGCTGTTTAAAATTATATATTAAAACATAATAAAGATATCCAAAAATTATATATTAAAACATAATAAAGACCTAAATGCATTATACCTTAATTAAATTTACAATGGAAATGGTTTTCAGTTCATACTTATATTTCAGATAATTCAGTGTGTTTTGTATTAGGACAATATGAAAGAATTTTTGTAAATTTATGATATACATACAGCATTAACTCCCAGGGCCGTAGTGTTATATGGACGTGTTCCATACACAATTCCACTCGCCAAAGTTGCACCTAGCAACTGGGCTAATATGTACATGAAGGCCTTTGACAAGCTGATTTGGCAGCTAACGAGCAAACCGACGGTGACTGCAGGATTCAGGTGAGCTCCACTGATATGACCTAAGCTCTGGGCCAGTGTGGCTATTGCCAAACCAAATGCAAGTGACACCTTCAATTCTTGGTCTGGTCTGGTGTTGTTTGGGTTCCCGATGGCTGAAGAAATAGCAAGGAATATAAAAAGAGTCATGCCAACGAATTCGGCCGTAACGGCCCTCCAGAATGAGTTCTTCTTAAGTTCTGACATGATTTTGACAAGTTCTGTAAAACCTAAAAAATGAGAAGGGAATACTGAATTAGTTTAGCTGGAAAATGTAAACTCTCTCTCACTCTCTCTCTCTATATATAGTTGTTGTTTATGCCTATATGTTTTTTGCTTTTTAATGCACTTTATTCTTTTTTTTTTTTTTTTTTTTTTTTGCTTAATCCATGAACATGTAGAAGCAATCACTGTGACATCGCTGAAAGGCAGGGTACATCCTAAATGGGTTAACATTATTTTACATGGACTATACATAGATATGAACAACAATACACAAAAAACAAACACAACTAGTCCTGAACCTTGTGCATTACTTTAAAACAATTGGCACACGATATAATTAAGGACAGTTATTTTCGACCAGGAACAATAGCATTAATATTGGTTTTACTACACTATGCAGAGAAAGTGACTTTACCTGTAGAATTGGAAGTTGGCAATTAAAGGTGATTTTTTTTTTCAAATATTTTTTTGTTTATCCTTTGTTTATTTTAAAGGTAATTTCATCTGATACTTTGCATTAGGGAGTAGCCTTCAGTGTAGATCATTCTTTCATGGTTATCTTGTTTTAGATTTCCAAGTAAATGATGTCATAACTGTAGCCTTTGACCTTTTCCCTTTGATCTTTATCTCTTGCTCTTGTGGAAAGTATCTGTCTAGTTTATTTTGATAACTTCTTAACGTGTATGTTAAGTATTTATATTATTAATGTAATTGTGTAGTTCATCCCCCCACCTAACAGCCTCTAAAATTAGCTTAGTTTTACATTAATAGCAATCAGACAAGAATTTAGGTAAGGGCCATCTACTGTATATAGTACTCAAAGTAAACCCAAAAAGGTCCAGAGATGGTCCATCAGCATTCCTGATGTTTTGTCTGTTTAGTCTGTTAGTGTTGCTGGCTCTGGTGTTGTTTCCTCAGCACACTATTGCAAAGAAAATGGCACTGGCAACCACAGACTGATAGAAGAGCATCTTGCTGCACACGTTGAAGGATCTCAGCTTTCTTTGGAAATAAAGTCTGCTCATCCCAGATGGGCTTTTTAAAAAACAATCACAGCGTCGATGTTAGCTTTCCAATCCAGCGGATCACCACCCCCAGGTACCTGTAGTCCTCAAACTCCTCCACCATCTCATCTCTGATCCATAGTGGTTGTAATGGCATCCTCTTCCTTCTGTCAAGTCAATCACCATGTCTCTGGTCTTGTTGACAGTTCAGCCTCAGGTGATTCTGTTCAGACCACTAAACAAAGTTGTTAATCAATGTTCTGTACTCACCTTCCTTACCCTCTCTGAGTCATCAGAAAACTCCTGCAGAAGACATGACTCAGAGTTGTACTGAAAGTCAGTAGTGTATAAGGCGAAGAGAAAGGGAGACAAAACAGTTCCCTCTGGAGCTCCTGTATCGCCACCACGTCAGACAAGATACTGCCTATACAAACAAACTATGGCCTGCTTGTCAAGTAGTCAGTGAGCCAGGAGATCATTGCATTGTCAACACCCATCAGCAGTGGTTGGATGGTGTTGAAACCACAAGTCAAAGAATGTGTCTATGAAGATTCTCAGTCATCCAGGTCATGGTCAAGTTTTTAAGTTCTGTTAGGCAACTGGAGGTGAATTTTCTAAAAGAAGACGTTTCACCTCTCATCCGAGAGGCTTTTTCAGTTCTAACTGGTGGTGGGGAGTACAGCAGATATATACTCTAGGTGTGAAAGAATAAAGCTACTTCAGCTCCACCCTGTTGGTTGGGGCCTTGGGGTCAACTGTGAAAGTGTAAACAGTTGTTACTTTTCTCTAGCTGTTCCAGCCTGCCTGCACTTCTATTTTCATTCCTCTTCTTTCTAGTGCAAACCTCCACCTCTCTAGGTTCTCTTCTAGCTGCTGCCTACTCTCACTACAGATCACAATGTCATCTGCAAACATCATAGTCCATGGGGACTCCTGTCTGACCTCATCTGTCAATCAGTCCATCAGAACAGCAAACAAGAAGGGGCTCAGGGCCGATCCTTGATGTAGTCCCACCTCCACCTTGAAGTCTTCTGTCCTTCCAACAGCACACCTCACTACTGTTGTACTATTCTCATACATGTCCTGCACCAATCTAACATACTTCTCTGCCACTCCTGACTTGCTCATGCAAAACCACAATTGCCTCTCTTGGCACTTTCTCATATGCCTTTTCTAAATAAAACAAATACACAATGCAGCTCCTACTGACCTTTTTTGTACTTCTCCATCAGCATCCTCAAAGCAAATAATGCATCTGATGTACTCTTTTTAGGCATGAAACCATAGTGTTGTTCACAAATCTCTCACCAGAAATTTCCAATCCTCCCCCTAAAAACAAGACCACAGTTTTATTTCAAAGGACACCCAGCCAAAAGTGTCCATATTTTCCGCACTATAAGGCGCACTTAAAAGCCTTTACTTTTCTGAAAAATCGACAGTTTGCCTTATAACCTGGTGCGCCTTATATATTAATACTGGTTGTGCATACTGAGCTCGAACCAATTTTATAAAGCACACAACTGAAGCACGCTGGGAGCCAACAATAATGTTTAACAGTTAAGCTTTAACTCTGTTATCACAATAAGAAGATGCTCAACAACAATTGTTACAGTATGGTTGTGTAACCCAAATCTATACAATGTCGCGTCATGCCTTCCAACACCCGGAGACTCTACGTTGTGTTTTTGTATTGTCGATGTATGGTGCAATGCAGGACGACTCAGACACATGGCTGACGATTTTTTCGTGGTCAAAAACTCTTTATTTCTCCTTTTTTATCGATTCACAGGAAAAACACACTGGAAAACAACATCTGCACTTCTACACGGAACAGCGTCAAAACAACAATCACCCAGCCGCTAGTTCCGATATGTGGACGACACTTGGGTCAAAATCAAGGTCCATGAGCTCGATAACTTCACAGACCACATCAACGCGGTGGACAGGAACATCAAGTTCACCAGAGAAGATGTAAAAAACAACAGTCTTGCATTCCTGGATTGTGCTGTTCACATCTCAGAGGACAAACAACTCAACATAGAGGTATACAGGAAACCAACCCACACTGACCAGTACCTCCGTTATTAGAGTTATTAGAACCCTACAGTCACGGGCAGATACCATTCCCACCACCAACAGAGGTAAGATGAGAGAACAGGGACACATTAGGACAGCTCTCGAGACCTGTAGCTATCCCAGGTGGGCTTTTTAAAAAACAAACAAAAAGAGGCCCACAAAGAGGGAGGACAACAGGAGGAGGGGGAATGTCGTCATTCTTCTTGTCTTCAAATCAAATCAATCTATCCTAAGCACCATTGGCAGATTTATTTTAAAATTAATGTTAAAGTGACTGATTGTTGTATCACTTTCAAGTTTAACAGGGTGCAAGGGATCTGTTTATTATATGTACTTACCCAAACAAGATAAAGATCCCAAGCTTGGGCCGAAAATTGAGTTAAACTTGCCAGGTAAGAACACAAATATACAAAATCATGGGTAAAGAGTTATATCTCAACGGTGCTTCAGTACTATAGAAATATGTAAAATATTACAGGTTAGTTAGGTAAGGAAAGCGATACTATGCCATTTTAGCTATTTGTTTACGACTTGATCGCTTTCTTGCTATAGTACTGCTAAATGATTCTTGGGTTCGATTCCCAGAGGAACCACACGCTAGGTGTGGCCTTTTAACAGCATATTTGCTGCTAACACAACAATTTCCCAAATATGTGATCAATATAGTACATCTTTTTTGTTTACTTCACGGCATTCATTTATTGCTTAACCTTGCATAAACATACACAAAGTCGAGCAGAGCTGAGAACACGAACAGAGTTGAGCACAGCAACAGACTTGCTCAGGAACCGACTAGGAACAGCTACAACAAAAAGCTCGACACAACGCTGGCACGAATGATACAGCGCTCACACACGGACAGTCACTTAATTAATGATCCCCCAAGGCCAGAGTGAGGGAGAGGGGTCTATATACAGGGAGCACCAGCAGCTAGAAGAGAACCTAGAGAGGTGGAGGTTTGCACTAGAAAGAAGAGGAATGAAGGTCAGTCGTAGCAAGACAGAGTACCTGTGTGTAAACGAAAGGCAGAACAGTGAAATAGTACGGTTACAAGGAGCAGAGGTGGTGAAGGTGCAGGAGTTTAGGTACTTAGAGAAGTGAAGAATAGAGTACAGGCAGGATGAAACAGCTGGAGAAAAGTGTCAGGAGTAATCTGTGACAGAAGAGTGTCAGCTAAGGTGAAGAGAAAGGTTTACAGGACGGTGGTGAGACCAGCCATGAAGTATGGCTTAGAGACGGTAGCAATAGGCAGAAGACAGGAGACGGAGATGGAGATGGCAGAGTTAAAGATACTAAGATTATCTTTAGGAGTGACAAGAATGGACAGGGTCAGGAATGAGGTCATTAGAGGGACAACACAGACAGGAAGGTTTGGAGAAAAAGCTAGAGAAGCCAGATTGAGATGGTTTGGACATGTGCAGAGGAGGGACAGTGGATACATCGGTAGAAGAATGTTAGAGATGGCGCTACCAGGTAGGAGA